ATCTTTCAAAACGTTGGGAAAAAAGTTTCCGTCTGAAAATTTTGGGGTAATTTTTTGTCTTAGAAAGCTTCCATCAAAATCTCCTTTCAGCGGGTTTTCTGTGCTTAAGGAGTGAGGAGTCAATCATAAAGCTGTTTGTTTTAAGTTAAGATTGTTGCCACCTCACAAATTTGATTTATGTTTGTTAATAGGTAACGTCAACGTTAGCTGCGCTCCATAAGAATGCAGAAAACTTAATGAGCAAGAATGTGAAGTGTTTAAATGTTGAGATCTAAAGATTTAGAGAGAAGTGCTCGTCTTGGCCCTGAAAACGGGTTGTAGGTCAGTGAAGTAAACAAATGCTTTAGCACCAGTAGGAACACGCGAAAACTGAGCGTTTACTCTAAAGAAAGTGTTGAAAAGAACGCGCCAACCATTCAAACTAAACGGATGTTTATTACAGCGTTGCCTCGAGTGATAAAAACGTTTTGGTTGAACGGGTCTTGTCGTCATTTTGATGGGCGGCGTATTGTGATGGAAACAGTTGCGTCTAATATGGCTTGTAGAGCTCCTGTCAGAAGTGAACAGCTGGCACGTACGTCATTTTTTTTTTTGAAGAAAGGAAGTCCAAGCCGCACGAGGCCCTCTCTTTAATCAACGCTGAACAGGATGTGTAGGTTAATGATAAAAAAAAAGAAATTCTTTCTGTGTCCAACTTACGTAGCTCCACCCCGGCGGAGATTGAAACGCCGGTGGATGGAAGCATTGAGGGAATAGGTCGTCATTTAAAGCGACGACCTTCTTTATAGCATTGTGCACGCATCTAAAATATGTTGTATCTGCATTGAAAAAAAAAAAAACAAAGCCTGAAACGAAAACGGTGACTTAAGTTTTGTGTTTGCATATCCTTCCTTTCTAGTTCATTTTAACTTCCTTCATTCACATTTTCGAAGAAAAAAATATTTGAGTTCTCAGTATCATGCTAGGATTTGATGCAAGATTGTTCGTAGTACCAACTCAAACTGTCTTGTGTTTGTGTCGCCAGAAATATGGCAAACAGTTTTTACCCATGTTTTTTTTTGTGCCGTTAAACTTGACTTCCTTCCCCTCTCGTTTCTTTTAATTTTTAACGGAAGTTTTAATCACAAGTGCACTTTGAAACACAATTATTGCTATAAAGACGTATATTTCTAAGTACCTTCTTGTCTTGTCTCTATAAGTTTTTAACGGAGGTTTTTAATCACAAATAAACTTTGAAACAGATTTTGTAATAGAGATGTATATTCTTAAAGGTGAAGGAGTTGGTGCTCTGACGCTATATTTAAAACTGCACTCATCAGTGAACGTTGCAACATGGAATTTTGTACCTTTAGATGTAGTTTGGAAAAATCCATCTGCGAGCTGTGATATCGCGTTGGGGTTGTATTTCTTGGGTAAAACCTGCACTTAATGATTTAATATTACTGTATTGACTTTGCGAAACTACTTCTTTTGTTTCATCGAAAAGCCACACATTTCTACTACGTATTTCTTTCAATTATTGCATCTATAACAAACTTAGCAACTTAAAGGCCGGCGTATTCCACGGCACAACTTACTGGCTGTTCGTGGTAACTAAAATATATTACGTTAACGTCAATATAATGAGCCTGTCAGCATCAGTAACGCCAAATGTGTCGATAAGGCAAAGAGAGCAGTGAAAAAAACACATTCACTTTGTCACCATTGACTCCATCATAACATAATGAAGATTGGAAATTTGAAGGTCTGGACAACTGAATTCCTCTCTCACAGACCGAAAAGTTTAGCTGGATATCATTGCGCAATTTACAAGAAACTTTCTTGGGGGGGGGGGAGGTGGGGGAAACGTTTAGCTTGTATTTCGTAAATTACCGGAAATTTTATTGAACGGACACCCTGTAAGAAGCAGGCATTCGCCATGATCCCGTGGATCTTGTTCTGCTGAGCACAGGTTTCACTGTGTCAACTAAATTTTTAAATTTCTGTGCGATGACTACTTCGTTTTCTGCTCAGCTCCTTATTTAATAGAGATAGAGCATTCTTGTTCAAAAGAAAAAAAAAGTGATTGATCAGAATACTCTCATAAGAAAAATGCCAGTAGACCTCTCTCTCTCAAAAACTCAGAGAATAAAGTAAAACCGCCCTTTTAGTTTTGTGTGGTAATCATGCGTAAGAATACGCTGGATAATACTATGGATTACGGAATGACGGTGATATAAATGTTCTTCCGAAACTTGAAAATAAAAAAGAAAAACCTAATTGATACATGCTGTTAGTTGCTAGAGTATCTGCGTTACTAACTAGAGGAATGATAAAGATCTTTGAGATTACAGATAATTATCATAATCATTTCCCACAAAATATCCACAACAACGCCGCAATGTGTCCGTTTTTTTTAATCAGCCCTGAGGAAGTTTTAGTGCGATTGACACGATGACAGCAATATCGGTGGAATTTATGATGTGTAATTTTGTTGTCTAAGAGCTCTTCTTGACCTTATTGCAACATCTCAAAGCAGATGTGTTCCAACTCAGACCACTAGCCTTTGTTGTATGAAAAAACAAAATTTCGATGCGTTCTCGAAAATGTCTTTTGTCTAATTAACGCGGAGGTCTCTTTTCTTTTATATTCATCAAGGGAGCGGGTAATTTTTTTTTTTGTCTTAGCCACAGGGTTTCGTAGATTGTGCAAGCTCTTGAAAACCTGTGGTTATCAATTTCGCAATCGTAATATGCGCATAGAAATTGTATACAAAACTTTCGATTATATATCGAAGTGTTGATGAACTCTTGCACAGTTTATGGAATACTTTCCAACCGCACTGTGCGTTTGATGTTTAGAAACACGTGGCTTCTATTGTTAGATTCAAAATAATTTTACGGTGGAGCGATGTTTCTATAGAGACGGGGGTTTTGTGGGGGCGTAATACGGAAGGATAAAAGATAAACATTTTCAATACTTTAGACGTCTTTGTAAAAGATTGAAAAAAAAACCGAGGTGGTGGACGATAATTAAAACTTTGGACTTCATTGTAAAGATGAAAGATGTACGTGGGATATGCGTTTCTTCCTTTGCTTGAAACGAGAGGTTTTGTAATGCTTTAATCTCGAACATTCCTGCGCATCGGGCTTGATTAGATAATAATGAAAATTGAAATCTAAATTGAAATAAATGGAAGGCATAGAAGTGAAACATTAGCATGAAATAGGTATTTTCATAGCAAGAACTAGCTCACTTGCTTTCTAACGCCAATTGGCCCTTATCATTTAGTGTGTCCTAGAGGGGATTGGTGTGCGACATATTTGGGCTCACGCTTATACTTTCTGCGTATGTTTAGAGTCGTCTCCTGCTATAGCTCTTGTTGAATCAAAATTTCTACCTCAACCAAAAACTTATTTTTTTGAGAATCAGAAAAACAATTTGTGCATCTTTTGCGTCTGGGGACTCGTTTTTAGGAACTTTGTTCCAGGGCCTGGCCTTATCTGGTTGCACAGCCTCTAGGTAGTCCTTTCTCATCTGCGCAAGTAATGAGGGCTCATTACAGACCTTTAAGTTTTCACAGGGAAGCCCTATTAGAAGACAATGAAAGTTAAATGTTTTCACTAAATATCGATAAAGGATTATAGGTATTTAAGCTCATATTTAACCAGTGCTCAATCAAGAGCGCCAGTGTCTGTGAGCTCCTTAGCCCCAAAGAAGGGCGAGGAGTTTACAGAAGTCGTGTTGCAAACGTCGTTAGGTCATTTTAACAATTCTTGTTGGACATTTTTGTGAATGTAGTTGTATCTTTTTTAAAGAGACGAGTATTTCTTAATTATCATCATGCGAAGCTTTAGTTATCACTGGTCGATTTGTGTGACTGTGCTGATTCACACGCACATTTTCTGTTAAAAATTTGTGACATGAAGGGTAAATTTTGCGTGGACAATGTATACCCAAAAAGCATTTTCGCTGAAATCAATACTTGTCGGTTAACATGAACCACGGCAGGTGTGGACCGGAAACTTTAGTAAACGGAGCTGATGGCCCCCGGGCAATCTTTACCAATTAATTCCATATTATCGACCCGTACCAGATAAACAATATTGTTGTCAAGAAATGATCTGGTACAAGTAATCCTAAGAAATCAGTGTCCTTAGTGATAGAAGCTTACAGAAAACTATTAGTGGAATTAAAGGCTGTCGGCGTAATCCTTAGTAACCCCCTAACCTGCTTGTGCTTAAACAAGCGCGATTTAGCGATGCTTTCGTTCGAGATCTATTGATAGCCAGCGGAAGATAGTTGTAGGTTTGTTGTTTCAGTTTCGACTATCGCCCTCGACAGAATTTGGAAGTAACAACTCTAAACATGTCGCCGAGATTAATCATCTTTGTCCTTTGTTGTTTGGTTCCGCGCTGCACTAGGTGGTGAAGGCTAAGTCATTTGTTCTCACAGCGGGTAGTAAATTGTTTGTTGTGATCTCTCGGTGATGCAAGTTGCTGTTCGCCACGGTTATTTTGATTTTAGCTAGACCCCGGTGGCCTTGTGCTAATTTGTTTTAGTTGAACTTTGGATGTTACGAAGCTGTGAATAAGCCGTATGATTTAGGTTTTGCTAGCTCTCCTTAGGGGGTGAACTGGATTCAATAACAAAGTCCTCCAGTTTCTCTGCTCCTCGAAAAACACTGCTCACGAAAGCTGTGCCGATTAACTTTTTGCAATGTGCTCATGATTAGTTGTATTACTTTTTCTGTATCTTGTAATTTTTCTTCGAGACATTGACGAATGCTTGCTTTCCTCTTAGTTGTTGAGCAAGTGACAATGCAATATGCGCCCTTTGAGGCCCACCCAAGTATTGGGTCACTATTAGACAATCCGTTTCTAAAGGCCACCATGTGCTCTGCTTAGAGCACCACAATAAAATCAACTGCTACAAGAAATTGTTGACTAAACCCCAACACCAGCTACAAAGATATTTCCACAAGAATCGTCTCCCGGAGAGAGAACACCAAACTAGACATATAAAAAAATAAATTGTGCAACTTTAATTTCTCTTAACAAAATTCAATTATAAGGTATATACCGGTACTGAAACATTCTATTTTTTTTTCATGTCCACTAGATACACAAGTGATCATCTTGTTATTTCTCCACCAATTATTCAGACGGTGCACAGCACTAGTACTGAATTAGTCTGTTCCCAGACATTTATACTTTGTTGGCTTATGCCGAACAAATTACGCTTAGGTTTCAGGTTAGGCGTCCAAACCTGTTCAAATGTAGGTTCCATCAAACAAGTTTCCTCCAATTAGAACTTATTGAAGGAACTCGACAATATCTTCTTAAAACAAAAGAGCTTTTACATCATTCCCATGTTATTCCCATTGGAAGTAAGTCTGAACAGCAGTGACTCAACCTAACACGATTTAAGCTACAAATTTTCGTAAGTGCATGCGTATTTATAGGTTGTGGAATATATTTATATAAGCTATGATATTCGAGAGTTTCTTAGTAGAATGAACTACAAACCCAATATTGTTTCTGCGCGTTTCATATATAACGTTTGGACTCTGTCCTTACTTCAACCCTTCATAAACCCGAAGTTGTTACTTCTATTCGCTTGACCTTGCAAGCATGTCACCCATTACAAAAACAAAAAAAGTTCTTACAACGGGAGCGAAGAAAAATTCTTTAAACTCATTGGAGTTCAATTATTTACTTGATTAGCAATCTCGATATTCTACAGCGACCGAGATGAAAGGTGCAAATTCTGGTACCTTGAAAGCCAAATTTTTTTACCGCTTTCTTGAGGTATATTGTTAGTCTTCAATTCTGAGATAATAGAAGTTTATAACCTGGTTGATTTGTGTATTCAGAATATGCATACTTCACCTTGGCGCAAGGCCAGCTACCTAAGCGCTTCTAATAACTGTTGGACTATCAAACATAAAAGGATTTGTTTGAGACGTAAAAAAGACTTTCAAAGACGTCTTTAAAAAAACAATGAATCAACAAACTCAAATCTTTTCCATTTGATGGAAATGTCAAATGGCTACGTAGAGCAGCCAAAAATTATTTTCAATTCGAAACTTTCCTTGTTATACTGGAATAAACTAATCTACAAGGTCCTGTATTGTTTGTTATTAACTAAGAAACATGCAATCAATACAACAACCTCGCTTGCGAGACATCCTATATACAATTTTCCGTTAAGGAGAAAATACCGCTGCAAAAAGAACAGCGATTCAAAAGTCTCTAAACTACGAAATTATCCGAACACTGATCGGTTCAAAATTGTTTACGCTATTTACCTCCAATTGGGAAGAAAAATACATCAGCTCTGCTGGATATATATAACCCTCGTTGCTATTTTCACTAAGAAAAAGAATCACGTTGTCGGAAAACAATGCTGCCCTATTTATCATGATAGTTCTAATTCTATGTACATCAAAGCCAAACTTATTAAACTTTTCCCTCGAAAAGACTATACGAGTAGAATTTGCGCGCTAAAAAAAAGATAACTAAATGCCAATTTCGGGATATAGTAAAAAAAATACGCCAAGTTACTTAGCTTACACTTTGTCATTCCATTGTAATGAACGGTATCTTTACTTGATGAGTCAGCGTAAATCTGAATTAGTTAACATGTCCATATACGTTGGACAAACTCACAGAGCTGTTAACGAAGGCCCCCTCGCTTGTCGGGTATGGAGCAATCTCCGGAAGGCTTAGGAGGTAGGAGCTCAACTGTTGAGCAGTGGCAACGTTTCCCCTGGATAGGGTCTGCAAGAAAAGCAATAAAACAGCTCAGTCAATTAGTGTGCGCGGCAGGAATCTAGCCTACTCCTCTCCATAAAAGCCTTCATTTGCACCGTTATTATCATTCATAATTTGAATGTTCCGCTTGGACGGTTTTTAATAAAGCGCTAAGTGAAAGGTAATCAAGGCGCAATGAATGGGCGCGTGAGTTACCCTAGTAATAAAATCCAGTTCTGAAAAATCGTATTTGTTTTGTAGCTGGGCACGTGTGCTAAAACTGCCATATGTAACAATAGTTAACTAGTTTTGCAGAATTTGTCTCATAGCTTGTCCAGAGTTGTGAGCCCGGCGATTCGCCGAAAACGTCAAGCAGTTCCGCGCCTCTTGAGAGCATGCTGCATTAATTTAGTTGAAAGTTACAAAAGTGAAATCGGAGTTGATTGTCTCTTTAGTAAAGTAACCTGATAAGGCTCCAAGACATTGGTGTAAATTTGATTAGTTTTTAAGAAAAAAATTGACATTTTTTGATGGCTTGTCACTTAGCCCAACTTTTCTATGCGGTTCACGAAACTTTTGAACTTTCTTGCAAACTGAAACCAAGGCCAAGAAACACACCCGCGCGCCTGACTTTGCTGGAAGTTGTTTTGAGCTATGAAAAAGTTTCTGAGAGCTTTTAATCCTATCGATGTCCTTGTCTCCTTGCGCATGAAAATTCACGACAGTAAAAGCGTCAGTTACCTGTAAGTCATATGCATCCTGAAACCACCCAACTTGTCGTAAGAAACGCGATTGCCTCTCGTGCCAGTTACTCTCATTGAGCACGCGCTGCACATGTTTTATGTACTCAATGGCATTGCGTAGCGTTTCCACTTTAGAGAGCTTCTTGTTAGCTGGCGTGGTTGGGATGTGCTTGCGTAAGGTGGCAAATCCATCGCTGACCAGCTTGACTCTGTTTCTCTCTCTCTCGTTTCTTCGTAATATGGAAGCATGCTCTTTTTTCAAACAGTGTGGTGTACGGCAACGTGTGCGATGTCTGGATGGTTTCGGGCTGAGGTTTGGCGAGTTGTCGCTGCCAAGAACAGACGAATGGGATGAACTTGGAGAGTTCACTGGTGAGATGGCTGGTGAATCTAGTGACAAGCAATCAGACGACTGAGACGACGGTGACGGCGAGTCAGGGCTGATCTCTGACAAATCGATATCAGAAAAATCCAGGCCAGCGAGATCCTCAAAGAACGAATCCATGTGTTGCGCAGGGCGGTGACAAGCGGGCAGCAGCAGCGCGGTGCTCTCTCTTACACGGACTCGTCTCGCTCCACGCTACACAAGTGCGTGCAAATACTATATTACATGAGACGCGTGGCGGAGCCTATAAAGCGGTTTGTTTTGTTCCTCAGGGACTTCACGCCTGGTTGTTGGGCAGAGTGAGTTGGTGGGAGGGGCTCGGAGACATTTAGCACAATGACACGTTAGGCAAACTAACTGCTTTGAATGGCGTACGGCTTGTTTTTGTGCCTTTAATCTTCATATGAAAGGGCAAGATTGTCTTGAGCTCTTTCGTGCGTGTCCTGCGCGTGGCTTCGATTATAATTAGTTGGCCAATACAATAGCAGTGCGTGCTGTCGTCAGACCTTTAGAAATCGCTAACAAAGTCAACAAGCGAACTTTCGTGTCGAATCCATACCGCCGATCAATAGAGAGCCAGACTTTTGTTCTATCCACGTGCCTCATTTCGCAGCTCCCTGCACCGAATACTTTAGCTTGAGTAACCATTTTAAACCCCACGGCGGCCAATAAGCGGCCAGCGCAGGCCTAGCTCTCGTGCACGACACCTTTACATTAATCGGTTAAATCTAAGATATGAAAAATAAAAAGAACATTCTTCGCGCACCACTGCATAGGGCTCATTTACAACTTTTTTGTTATCTATTTATCACTGGGTAGACTACACGTTGCATTTTTCAGTCGCATAATTTACAAAGGCAACTGCGTGTGTCTCCAAGGAGTAGACTCAAGTATGTTCGGCATCTACTAATTAACAACTTTATCGCTTAGAGATAGCTTCTTGGTTCTGTAAGGATTTGTGTGCATTGTGAGAGAAGCTGTTAGTTTGATAAACTGTTGACAATGCAAATCTTTCCTTGAAGACGACTGTGGCAATTGTTTTAGAACAGTTCTGTACGCCCTATGTAGAACAGCAAAAGCTCATTCGACACCATCAAGCGCTCTTTTTCGGAGATTTCTCTGTGTGGGGTCCAATTAAACTTATCCATTGTGGGTTAAATTAATTCTTTTCCTTTTTGTGCTTGTCAGTTCTTTTCCTTTCATCGATTTTATTTGCAGAGAATTTTAACTTTGACAACATTCCTTCACAACCGTTTACCTACCGCTGCAGAGTAATGAGACATAAAACTGTTTTATTTCAGTAACAAATATTTGCTTTTACAAAGAATTCCTGGCGCTCCTAGTTAGCGGAAAGGAAGCAGTCAATCAAGACACGCGAATATGGCACGAAATTAACGGGCCAAAACGACGCCACTTGTCGAGATCCAAAACTTGATAATGTTCTTGAGTTTATCTCAATTTAAGAGGCGAGTCGGCTTGAAATGTGGTATGAAGCGTGCTGTATTAGAATTAATTACTGTCAACGCATATTTAGAACTCAATTTCCTTTTTTCCATTTCGTGTTCTCTTTTATGTCTTTGACCCGTTTTCGAAACAGGAACTACTGTCGAGAAGTTGGTAGCAGATATGCTCGCAGAGGTGGACATACACAAACAAACATTTCCTTTGCAAGGTTATTATTTGATAATTCTGCTTACACGCGCCAAACGCGTGCCTGAAAGTTTGTCAATGGTAAATTACACCATTGATTTACATTTTTAAGTCCGGTGTACACAGCGGCCAGACGCGGATATTGGTTAACGTTACAGCTTCCTGTTTTCACTTAGCCATGCCAACCCTTTGTGGTTCTCTAGGAGACAAGCGGAAAGCTTGTAATATTAGCATCGGAATCTCACGTTCTCTTTACTCGAGAGTCAGTTGTATACGGTTTTCGATCTCCAAGCAATGCCTTCAGTTTTACATATCTATTCTTGTGCTATCAATTTTTTTAGCTGCCATATTGTATAAAATCTATCATTCGAGACAGCTACAAGCGTTAACTGCTTGGGTATTTGACAGTTGCATGAACGCATTAACGAAGTGCATGCACGAACGCTCTTTATTCGCGTGGCTTTTAGTCCTAATTATTTAGCGGCACGCGGCTAGAACTCTTGAAAGGAACTCAACACATATCGGACGATAAGTTAATGGCTTGTGGCTGGGAAAGAGTTAGCAGTGTTCCTTTCCATTGATTGTTATTTACATAGAGAGACACGGTTAATTGAATGGCTTTCTATTGAAACCAAAGCCGAAACACATTTCATGCTCCGTCACTGATTTAACAAATTGAATTTATTTCATTAGTGGACGCGTTCCTTTGGTTGTTTTAAGAAGGAAATTTTTACAGGAAGGAAGATTCATCGTTCAAAGAGCTTAGATTTAATGTTTATTGCACAGTAACAAAATTAAGGATTGAATTAAGTGCTTCTTGAGCGAAGCATCCTTGCTGCTGAGATAAGGATATTGCGTTTGTGATAACGACTTTCTTATCTTAACCTTTGAACACTCTTGTTTCTGTAAACATCAAGTGCCGACAAAGTGCTTTCAAAGAAGCTTCGATTGCGTTTTGTTTTCATTGAAATCAGCGTCGCAAATTGTACATTCCTGTATATGTATAATAGCGTGTCTTTTTCGGTTTACACTCCTTCCTTGAACAAGGCATCACGCGACAAGTGATTCAGACAGTCACTGGCAGTGGCGTTTTGCTGATAGAGTTGAACTGACACGCACGGATTTTATATTATTCTAGCGGCTTTAGTAAAAGTTTCAGACACGTTTCGTATCTTGTTATATTTTGTAACTTTCCATCAGCGGGCAATATCTTCCAGTGGCGTGTGCCTCGTCATGCAAGTTTGATCATCAAAGGTATCACGCTTACACTCTTACTTTGTTAAGTAATGTCTGGTTCAATACAACTAATATTTCTATTAAAAAAAATTGTGTAACAGGGCTTGGTGCCAATTTAAAAACCCGGGTGTTTATCGGCAATCACATCATGTGGAAAACTGACATTGTTGCAGGTACAGGAGGTTCCAAGTTCCCCTGGGTATCCTGTGATCCACCGTCACACCGTGGGAGGGCTGTAAAGATACCTTGTGGTAAACACGCAGATATGGGGGCAGAGTTTGATTCTTGCGAGTGCATCCAAGAATCTTCACGCAAATCTTATGTAAATATGTAATCACTCCTCCGCCATCCAGCTTTTAGAAACTGTAACTTATCAGGGCTGGGCAGACTCGCAGGTGCCAACTTTTTTCCCTCAGTTTTATGTTGTGCAACCTAAACAGAACGTTTGCTTATCTGTAATCACAAATCACTACGCGCGGCTCCTGACTGGCCTTATCAGGAAACGTGTGCAATTTTTGTTGTTGTTGTTGGTTGTTTGTTGTTTGGTTTTTCCTTTATTTTTTTTTCCTTTTTCGCCCTGACATTTTATTTTTGTATATGAGGTATTTTCTGCTATTTCCAAGCCTTGTGAGACTTTCATCCTATTGACACCGCATTTTTCTTATGTTTTTACACTTTAATATTGGAGGTCTATATCATTCTCGAATCCTTAAAAATCTATTCAGTAATCCGAGAAACTGTGACTTACATGGTTTTGAAAACCAATCTCGAAGTGAATCCCTCCTAGCTGCAGCTAGCCACGTATTGGTGAGACCTGTCTGTCTGACCAAGAGAAAATATTAGGACATTCCTTTTCTCTTGATCTGACGTTATCATCTCAGTCAGAGTTTCTTTCTGAATTAGCACGTTTTTTGCGATAAATTGGATGGTAGTGTTATCTGCAATGTGGTTTTTTTCGGCAAATGACGTTTGCTAAACTGCTTTTTCGCAAACTGAAAATCTTTCAGTGGTCTGAAATTTTAAAATTATCCATAATTCGTAAGGACTTCTTGGGGGATGCCCTTAAAACATCTTTGAAGGTCGTTTTCAAAAACCCGACACCATTATGAAGGGTTCCCGTCGAAAAAAATCATATTTAGAGGGCATTCGAAGATCTTTGAAAGATCTGTTGTACTATTTTACGGTAAAGGTCCTAGGAGATCAATTGAGATATGCATACTACCTTAGGACTCGTGGGTTTCCTAAGCTGAATGACCAATTATCCCCTCTAAAAAACTCTTTAATGTCTCAACGTCTTTTGTTTTTGTCATGTGACCAGAGAATGTAGAGAACTAGATAACTGAAAGTTTGTTCAATTCTAAATGAAAACGAAATCTTTGAAGAATGTAGCACTTATCTTGTGGCACCTTCCACGATCGTCTACGGCTGATCACCCGAGCGAAACATTTCATTTTGTCGAATCTTCATGATCGATTCCTGATAAAATTAACTTCTACGAATTAGATTCCTTGGCCTTGTTGATATTTTCTGGCAGGCGTTTCCTTTGATCTCTCCTTACACAATTGCCATTTTTTCTTTTCATCTTGCACATTTTTCTCATTTGTAGGACCTAGCATTTGTTCATATAAATCATGATTCTGGGTTAAAATTTTTTTTGTCTTTATCATAACTGGCGATTAATGCCGGGTGTTATCGACGATTTTTAGGCAAGTCAGATCACATTCTACACCAATCATATTTAACAAAAGCTATCCTTCTGGATAGAATTAGCGAAATTTTTGTGGGCGATAGCAATCTAAGTTCTCACACTCCCTTTATGTAATGCTGGGAAGTTTCAGATACTTTGAATAGTATGCAGTTGTGTCGGTAAGACACTCTCTAAAATGGCACAAACCCTTCATCAGAGTCCTCTTCAGGTAATGGTGAGACACCCCGGCTTCCCTCCTGATTTTGATTTTACATGTGGCCCAATGTTCTCGTCATCAACATCGACAAGGGAAGGAGGAGGACTGGTTTCAACAATTGCTACTGACAAGTTTTGTGTGACTGTGTAATGTACGACAGAGTTATTTGGGTATCCTGTGGTGGAACGGAATTCAGAGTAACGTCATTGCAGTGAATGTTGTTATGCAGCCTCGGACCATCAGAACATTTTATGGACTTAATTTCCCTTAAGCTTTGCCCTCTCTTAATTGATTTGGTTCTCTTGCGATAGTTTGCATCGGTTGTAACATTTAGACAAAGCCATTACGACTTCATTCTCATAATTGAACATTTTTGGTTCAGTTACTAAAAATAGTCGTACTGCGGTTATTGAACACTTGTTCAAGAACGGGTCATTTCCATGAAAAAAGAGACCTTTTTCGCCATGTGTTACGACTTGCCCTTTTAATCACACAAAGTTGACAGAAGAAGCCCCGCCAGAGTTGTTGACACATTTTCCTGAATTACCACTGATCTACGAAATATCACAATTTATCACCCATTAGTATCTCATGACAATTGAAAATGAGTTGACCTAAGTGCTCAAAGGGGCATTGTGCCAACCCGTTTTTGGTACACTTTTGAGCTTTAGCCAGCACCTATCTCCATAAAACTTGTCAGTGAAATAACTATGTGCCAATCAATTCATTTGTCTGGGCAAAATTTAATTTTGCGTCATTTCTTTTCTGTTGTATGGCCAGACAAAAAAAAATGCAAAAAAAAAAAAAATGGTCGAATTGTTTAAGTCTGTGTTTAATAACTTTTGCGGAGCCGGTCAATGATATCAGTTGACACCTTCACATAATGAAGATATGTGTTTAATTCACTCATCATTATAAGGACGTGTTTTTGAATTACAAGGCGTTGCATCGAGAACTTAAGCTAAGAAATGTCTTTCTTCAAGTGCCTTGTAGCCCCCTCATGCTTCTTGAGAGGTCAATTCACTTGGAAGCGTAGTCATTTCATCTTATCGCAACAGAAGTTTCTTTTTTTAATCTTATGGCGACCCTGTTCCATCTTTTTGTTCAAGTCCAAAGTCAGTGATTGTGTAAATTATGCGTAGCGGGAAGTTGATTACTCTTTTCAGTAAACTGATCATTAAAATCTACATCAAATGGAGCAGCATTTACTGATTGCTTAAGCCTTATGAGAAATACAATGTAAACGTCTAAGCTTTTTGTACACGCGTGGTTTGCCGGAAAAGAGGTTTGCAGGGTGTCTAAAAGGCTATTTGCGCATTGTGGTCGTGCTCTATTCAGTTGCGCCTAATTACATGCTAATAGCCCCATGTAACTCGCTTTGAGCTGCCGCGTTAAGTACCTTGGTGAAGTTGTTTCTTTTCTGCCAAAGTGTATTTGCAATTCAATGCTGGTGCAGCTGAAGCTTATGACCCTTAGCTGATCTTTTAACTCTCACTTCAACTACGTTCCGGTAGATTTTTTTTTTTTCCATCGTCAAATACCTCCTCTTGGCGCCCCCTTTCTAATTTCCTTTTCTTCTGTTGAAAAGCTAATTGTTCTGCAGATTTCAAGCAGTTATTAGCAAGATCCACGTAATGCAAAGTGTTACATAAACCTTACTTAAACTCAAGACCTGCCTCGAAGTTTTCTCTCTAAGATGCAAAGTCTTTCTGGAAGTTATGTTTGATGGTTTTTCCACGCAAGATTTTACTGAGTGACCTATTTGGTCTTCACGGATTAATCCGCAATCTGTTGGATTATAAGACAACTGCAGCAGTATTTTATGTTGGCTTACAACAAGCACTCGGATTTTAGCTTTATTAGGCTCGAAAGCCGTAAAACTAAAATCCAATGTGTTTATTTGGAGAAAGGAATTGGGTGACGTGTTAAGTTCAGGAATCCGACGTCAAGATCAAATTGAAAGCAATTGAGATATTGGCAAGCGCCGGGTAGACGGCTTGCTTTAAACCGCATTGTTACCGACTTGTTCTTTAATTTCAGTTAATGTTTGTAAGATTTTTATCGAAGTGCTGTTAGTGAACGTGCATTATGTTTGTTTTGGTCTGGGTAAGGTAATTTTTGTCGCGCAGCAATTTTTTTTATCTTTCATTTATTGTGAGAGAAGATCAAACGATTTGGATGCGACTTCGTTAAATAAGTTGACGTTTCCCAATCTAGAGTCATATTTCTTACTTGGCTTGGAACGTTTACTCAAGGATCAACCTAGCTTACAAATTAAGTCTTATTAAGTTTTCATGCAAGCCAAATTTAGGTTTAGTTAAATGCTGCATGTGTGAAAGTGCTTCAAACTGAGTATCTGGCTCAGTATCTGTTTGCTGAAAGCTTGTAAAGCAGGAAGCTCTGACTTCAGAAACGGAAGCTACATTTACACGGTGACAATATTGTTTCGTTTTGAATTAGTTTTATCTTGAAATATTTAAGAAAGGCAATCTTACATGAGTCAATAACTAATTTTTTAATCACGTTGTAGAATGTGATACTGGAATCCCGCAAATACAACTTGAATGGAGTCTTGAATGAAGAAATATTGCGTAATTGTTATAAGTCACTAAGAGAAATCGTGTTAGAACCTTTTTACGTTTGCTACTTTAAAGGCATCACCCGGCCACCTTTTTATGCCTATACTTGCTTATATACAATAAAAAAACCTTTTGTCTCAAAGGCTCAGCCAAGTAGTTTGAAAACAGTATATGAATCCTCTCTGATACTATCAACATTGACCGATGAAAGTATGTCCCAATTTAAAAGGTAAAGTTCGGGAATGACACCAAGTCCTGCTAGTCAGTACACCATGAAAAATATCAACCAAAGGATGTTAACCCTTTTCACCCTAACATTACTCCTCATATTCTCCATACTGTTTTCTATACATTTCCTACGGTGCTGACAAGGAGAATTTGTTTAACAATCAAGCCGCTTCTTTCAGTCGTAAAGGTCTCTATTTCTCTAAACAACATACGTGTTT